CATGTGTACATCAAAGCATCATGTTATAATTCTAAATATATATAATTTTAATTAAAAAATAAAAAATGTGGAACCAAATTTTTTTAAAAAAAAAAACCCAGAAAGCACACAACTAAGAAGCAATTTGATGATGTTGATAATGATGTTAATAATATTAAGTAATTAACCCAATTGGTTTTGAATCTTGGCTACATGACTTCAAATTTTGGTCTTTTAACGCTTCCCTGGATTGCTTATCGGTATAGAGAAAGGAAAAAGGAAAAAAAAAAAGGAGAAAGATATTCTGAGAATGGCAGCAATCAGAATAGTTCTGGGTAATGTTTATTAAACACGAATCATGTCACAGTTCATCCTGTAAGCAGAGTCTGGATTAATCCTCTCAACAGGACTATTGTGGTAGGTGCTATTATTATAAAATTGATTATGCAGATAAGAAAAAAAAAACGAGGGAAAACAAGAACAAGGAAGAAGGTAGGGTGGGAAGGAAGAGGTTGGCCAAGTATTTATTTATGGTCCTACAGCTAATCGAGGAAACAAAACTCAAACTCGGGCCCTCTGAAATCCAAGGGTATACTTTCAAGTTATGAATTTGAACAGTGGGAAACTGTCAGTATATTTGTCTTTTGTAGCTTACCATGATAGCACTCCCACATGGTCAGCCTAGTCCTGTGCCTGGGCCTTGGCTGGATCACAGAGCCAACCCCAGTCTGCTCCTGCTGAGGCCCTCAGAACCATCTTGGTTCGCCATTTGGACTCCAGGTTCTTGTGGCTCTTATATATTCTTGGACTTCCCCTTGACCCTTCACCAGTACCTGTGCAGGTAAGAATGTGAGGCTCCAAGCTCAGTGATGCCCAAAGTGTCTTACTCTTATTCTCATCGAAGGCATTAGAGCCTTAATTGACAATTGCTTCATCCAGTAAGAAGGAGCCATTCCAGGCACTAGTAAGCCTACCCCTTCCTGCTCTGGAATGCCCGTGGTGCACATTTACATAGTCCTTGATGACCTTCAAATCTGCTGCTTTCTTGGCCTATTTCACAGGACGTGGTTGTGGCCATGCTGTGTGTACCACAAAGTCATTCTTACCCACTGCAGATGCTGCCAACCAGCAACGGGGAGGTAAGTGCTGACCACCATAGGACAAACCACTTCTGTTTTTTTAGATGCAAGTACAGTCTCTGTCTCTCTTTTACTCCTTAATTGCTGCCCCAAATCTCTGCATCCTTTCAGGACCCCTACAGGTATCATTAGGAGAGGCTCGGGCTTTCATAAAATAAGGGAAGGGGGTCACTCCATCCCCAGCTCCTGCTTTATACTGCACACGCACCTAACAAAAGGAAATATACATTGTCAGCTTTGCTTCTTGGAGGAAGACACGGTGGGTAGAGAACAGTGCAAAGAACAGGGTTCCGTTTCCATCCCCACAGGACACCCCACAGGTCCTCCTTCACGGAGGTGTGCTTGAGTCACATTCAGTGCACTGCCATCAGAAGTGCCCATTCAAAACGGCTCTACAATCAGTGAGGTGGAGTTTTAGGAACTCTTCCCATCTCTGGAGTTTTTCTTCCAGCACCCTCCTTTTACCTCTCTAAGATGTCTGTGCTGAACACTACCCCTTCCATTGTGCTGGCAAACACAGGTGTCCCCATGATGGCTTTCTGCAGAACAGAAGTCACAGGATAAGGTTTATAATATATATATATATATAATATGATCTGTAACTATTGCATACCATATACCATATATATTATATGATGTATCTGGATTGCATCTATCTATCTATCTATCTATAAGTGTGTGTGTGTGTGTGTGTGTAAATCTATCTATCTAGATACAGATATAGATATAATGTTTTTTTTACTATAATGGTTTGTCTGCCTCAGGGCTACCTGGACAGAAAAGAAGTTTGGCAACACATCCTCCTGTCTGCTTCTTCAGATTACATCAGAGTATTGTTCCTACCCTTTTGGAGAAAAAAAAATAAAAGGGAAGAAAAAAAAAACCGCCTACATGATTCTTATCTCTTTTCCCAAAGCAATACAAAGGCAGATGACACCCTCCGGCCCAAGTGCAACTTGGGATCTGCCTGGCATCTCCTGTGGTGTGGAGGCATCATGACCTTGGTGGGCTGGTGGCTCCTGGCACCCTCCCAGCCCTGGATGTGCTGCACAACCCTAAATAACCCCGCTTCTGCACCATCTGACACAGAGCGCATTTCCCTGATGAATTACCTATGCACAGATAATCAAATAAATCTTTGTCTTGCTACCTGCAGTCGAGATGCCCTGCAAAGTTTCACAGGTCATAGCACAGATCAAATTAAGGTCCAGAATCATGGGTGGGATGGACAGCTCAGACCCGGCTCTCCAGGGCCACCCCTGACAAACACAGCCAGTTCTCCTAGCCGGACTAGGGCTTTGGGGGACATACTGATCATCAGTCCTAGAACCCAGGTGAGTTCCAAAGCAGCAGTAGAGAGTCCAGGTAGGGGTAGGGTAGAAGGAGAAATGAGGACATAAACCGGGTTCTTTAAGAAACATGAAAGATTTTGGTTACCCTCAATCTAACCCCCTCAGATAAGGGCAAAACTGGGGGCTGCCCAGTGGCAGACCCACCTCCAAGATAGCAGTGACTGCCTCTTCCCTCTTTCCTGACAGAGAATGCGATCACAAATCGAGAGCCAGATGGTTGCCTTTATATTTCTTTTTTCTTTCTTCTTCTTCTTCTTTTTTTTTTTACTGCAATACTAAAGCCACCATAAAAAAGCAAAGTTGAACAGACAGAGCTAATAATATAATCATTCAAAACACCTGCAAACAGTGCAGATGGGCAAATTCTGTCTGCAGAATCATCGGTGAAAGACCGCCTCCCCATATGGGCAGTTCCAGAAGCTCAGCTTTGCCCAGCTCTGTCCCTTACCTTAAGAAAACCTGCACAGAGCATATGCACGCTTTTTATAGTCGAGCTGAAGAATTGGTAGCTGATTATTTATGTCCTTCTGGTATGTCTTAGAGTCAGGCAACCTGCAAAGGATTTGTCCACCCAGGCTCCCCAGGTGTCGGAGAGACCCACAGGGAGGGTGAGGACCAAGGCTGCAGCCACATTTGCAATTCTGGGCACAAACAATGGCTATTGTCTGAGAATGGCTCCATCACCCTCTTCATCACCTACCCAGCTTCCTTGAAATAAACAACCCTCAAAAGCCAACAGCCCTGCTTTCTATTTCTCACTGAAAGCACAAAATGTGAATTTGGAGGGAAGGGAAAAAAATGTACTATGCAAAGTCTTTTTTATCATATGTCTCTGGTTTTCTTGCTCCTCTCTTTACAGCTTCCCACAATGGAACACAATTCCCAAGAAGAGAGGGAGGGCCGGGAGCCTGTGCTGGAAAATAGATCAGGGTCAGTCCTGAGAAATCAGCAACTTCTCACCTCCACACATATCACAGAGGGAACACTGAGGCCCAGAAAGGAAAAAAACAATAGTTTTCCTAAGAAGCCAGAGGCAGGACTGGATTCCCCACATGGAACTCTGTGCATTGTGAGCTAAGGCCTGTCCCACTGACCCTCCCTCCTTCCACTTGTTGGTTCCATGCATCACAGAGTCAGGTTCCCTGTGGGTGAGCACAGATGGATGGGTGGGTGGAAGAGAACTAAAGGTGAAGCTTGCCTGCCGACCAGAGAGAAGCAGCCACAGGATCTGTCTTCCTTCAGACTGGGCAGTTCAGCTGGGAAGTTCAGCCATCCACACAGGGCTAAGTGTCTCCTCTGGGTCAGGCACGTTGGGGAGGATGGGACAGGCCAGATGAGGTATCAGTTCTCAGAGAGCTCCATCCACTGGGAAGAACATGTCTGAATACAAGACATAAGCAATGCCCATGGAAAAGGAGGCAGAATTCAAAGCCAGGGTCCAGCTGAAGTCTCAGAGAAGGCTTTCTGGAGGAGGTGACAGGGGATTTTTTTCCTCTCTCCATGTCTGTGAATCAATTCCTTTCTCACCTTTGCCACCTGAGATGGTGCTACCATCCTGCTCTCCTGTGAACTATTTCCATGGGCTCCCTGTCTCCCTCCCTGCGTTGGTCAGGATTCTCTAGAGGATCAGAACCACAGGATGGAGACATATATTTGCACACACACACACACACAAACACACACACACACACTATTACAAAAAGGGGATTTATTAGACTGGTTTACATAATTAATTAGAAGCTGGATCATCCTACAATGGCCATCTATAATCTGGAGAGTCAGAGGAACTAGTAGATTCTCAGTTTAAGAAGTCAGAGCCTCAGAACAAGAAAGACAGATAAATAGATAAAGAAAATGTGGTAAATCTATGCAATGGAGTTTTACTCAGCCATAAAGAAGAATGAAATGATGGCATTTGCTGGTAAATGGGTGAAACTGGAGGATATCACGTTAAGTGAAATAATCCAGATACAGAA